GCAGGGCGGCGTTAATGTCGCTGCTGATGTCGTCGATGCTGGCACCGTGCCTGCTGCGGCTGCTGCTGCGGCGGCGGCTAGCATATTGTTATTACGCGAGCGCCTTATCAGCTGCGATACGATTGGATAATTGGCGGCCGCCCCGCCCGTTACCGATGAGTCGCTGCGCCGAAAGCAACCGTCAATTTTGACCACCTCATAGTGACGCGTCGCCTCGGCCCGGGTCGAAGCACGCGCCAGCCGCACCGTGAAGCAGCGACGATCGGCACGCAGACGCTCATCGATGGCCGCCATATGGGCGATTGTTTGGGGGCTGGGCGTACGTGTACGCTCCAGATCCTGCTCCAGTTCATCATCACCATCATTATTGTCATCATCGTCGCTGGCCGACGTTGACTGCGACTGTGAGTGCGACTGCGAGTGCTGTTTACGTCGTTGCTGATAAAAGAGCGTCTCGATGTCACGTGGTATTAGCTGTTGACGCAACAACGCCTGATCATCGGGATGCGTTATCTGCAGCAGATTCTGTCCATATAAATCCGACTGGCAATGGCCCAGCAGCTGTTCCACGCTCCCAGACACAAGCACTATCTGCCCATTGCAGGTGAGGGTGAGAAAAAAGCTGTCGAGCAACTGCATCAACGTATCCGTTAATTGCGGCGTATCGCCAGCGATGACACCGTTACCATTGCCTCCACTTCCGCTAGAATCTCCACCTCTGCCGCCGCCCTTCACATTCAGCCTGCGTCGACGTCGTGTCGCCGACTTGCCAAATACGTACTGCAGCCTGAGTCCGTGTGTGGCAAAGCGCAGCACCGCGGTCTTATCCAGTCGCCGCGTTGATTCGGCCGCATGCGGCACCATTGTGGCCAGCTCCTGTATGCTGGCATTGAGCTTGTCCCGCCGCTGCTTTTCGGCCAGATTGCGCGCCTCCCTTCCATTTGAAGCGCCGCTGGCGTCGTTTGTCTCACTATCGGCGACGGCTACTGTCATAACTGCGACGCAGCCGCTGCCGCCGCCGCTGCCGTTTGCCGTGGCTGCAACTACTGCTGCCATTGTGTTTGTGTTTGTGTCGGGTGTGTGTGTGTCTGTGTGTGTGTGTGTGAGTGTAGGCGCTGCTTTTGTTATGGATGTAAATCGTTAGCTTGTTTTGATTTTGATTCTTACGTTTACGTGTTAAACGGCTTCCCAATTCGCTTTTCTCCATGCATTTGGTGTTTTATTTGATTTGTATTTTTATTTTCTTCCTATTATTATTTTTAATTGGCGCGCTGCGGAAAATTGTCACTCTCCATAACTTAGCGGCCGATGCCGATGCCGTTGCCTCTCTGCGCTCGGCTCTGTTTGCGTTTTTCGTTAATAATTTTGAGTTTTTTTTTGTTGCTATTTCTTTAAAGTTTTCAAGGTCTCGCTTGCCGTGTTGTTGTTGTTGTTGTTGTTGTTGTTTTTGTTGCTTCTCTTGCTGCTGCTGCTGCTGTTAACCACCTTTGGGCTATGCGCGCGGCCCCCTCCCTCTGTCCACTCACTCTCTGGCAGCGTATGTTATTTTCCGTTTTATGGAATTTTTTTGATTGCGTTGCGAATCTCAATCTCCTTTGCGTTGTGGCTCTAGCTCCGTTGTTTTTGTTGTTGTTATTGTTTTCGTTGTTGTTTTTGTTATTGTTGGTCTTACCGTACAGCGTAGACCAGTTGCAAGCGGATCAATGGAAGGTACGTACAATTACATAGAACATCGCACGCACTATTTTGTTTATATTAGTGATTAATTGTTTATTAAACAATTATGTAGCTCAGCGACATTTGGGGCAAAAAACACATATCGATACATCGATATGCGCGCACTCCTATCGGATTCCACGACAGGACAGTTCAAATAGTTCCGTCTGACTACAGCAAGCTACAATTATTGCGTGAAATATACGACAATATTTTAAAAAAAATTTACAATTATATGCATGTATACTTTACATAGTCGAGAAACCATTTCCACTAAATTTAACAATCACGTCATAGGGTCAGATCCGTTTCACCTGTGAACCAGCTCAAAACGATGACATCACGACTCCGATAATAATTCCAATGAACACGAACTCACACACGCCTAATCATCGTGTGTGATTCTTCCTCTTTCCCTAGCTCCACACTTGGCACATTTGCCAGCTGTGCACGTGAAAGCCGCCGCCGCAGCAGCAGCACCGACAACGTAAACGTAAACTATTCATGTTTGCTGATCATAGTGCTTGCGAATTTTAGATAATTTTAGTCCATTATACAGCAGGTAACCTGTCATCTACACCCTACACAGACATGTCCAAGGCCAAAGGCAAGAAGAAGGAACGCTTCGATGAGGAAGAGGAACAGCCAGAGAAAGTGAGTGCAAACGAAAAGAAAAATGCGTCAAAGAAGGGCAAAAAGGGAAAACGTGCTGGAGGTGGCGGCGGCGATTCCAGCGATAACGAATCCCTTACTGCCAGCAAGTTGTCCAATGTTGACGCAGATGATCTGGAAAGCGTGAAGTCCTCGCAAAGCAAACAGCAGCAGCAGCAGAAGAAGGCTGGCAAAAAGGGGAAGAAGGGGAAACGAAACGACGATTGGAGTGAGGATGAGCAGCCTGCGAAGCCCCTGGCAAAAGCAGACAGCGATGGCTCCGATGAAGAAACGGCGCCCGTTGCTAAGCCAGCTCCCAAGAAGCAACAGCAACAGACCAAGAAAAGTAAAAAGAACAACAAGAAGAAGGCGAATGATGGTTTCAGCGATGATGATGATGATGAAGATGACAAGGATAATATAAATGGTGAAAATGAGGAAGAAGATGAGGAGGAGGAAGAGGTGGTGGTAGCTATAGCCAAGCCGGCAACCAAGAAATCCAAAAAGAAGCAGCAGCTTAAAAATAAATTTGCGATGAGTGACGATGATGATGATGATGACGACCTGGAGGACAACAAGGATGCAGAAGATCTGGATGAGGATGAGCCAGAACTTGAAACGGCCAAGCCAGCAGGAAAGAAATCTAAGAAGCAGCAGCAAGATCAAAAGAACAAATTCGAAATGAGCGACAATGACGACGACGAGGAGGAAATCGAGGATGTGCAGCTGCTCGCGGCGGAGCCAATACCTGAACCTAAGAAAGAAGAGAAGCTAACTGAAAAGATTGCTGCCATCACGCTGAAAGAAACCGAACCCGAACCAGAGCCAGAGGAGCCAGCGACCACGCCCAAGTCCGAAGAGTCAACGGAAGCAGTTGCTGAATCCAAAGACAGCAAGGAAAAGAAAATCACGCATAAGGAGAAAAAGAAGCAAAAGAAACAACAGGAATACGAAAGGCAAATGGAGCTAATGACGAAAAAGGGCGGCGCCGGCCACTCGGATCTAGACAATAATTTCACCATGTCGCAGGTGCAGAAAAGCGCTGGCCAACAGGCAGCCCTTGAGCATGCCGTGGATATCAAAATTGAGAACTTCACGATATCGGCCAAAGGTGAGTGCATTTTAATTTCACAAGTTATGCAATTCTTAAATGAATCATATTTTCACCCTTTTGCCAGGCAATGATCTATTTGTGAATGCCAATTTGCTGATTGCCCATGGACGTCGCTATGGCCTGGTGGGTCCCAACGGTCACGGCAAGACAACGCTGCTCCGACACATAGCTACACGCGCGTTCGCAATACCGCCCAACATTGATGTGCTGCTGTGCGAACAGGAGGTGGTTGCCACTGACAAGACAGCCATTGATACAATTCTGGAGGCAGATGTCAAGCGTACCAAGATGCTGAAGAAGAGCGAAGAGCTAGAGAAACAATTCGCCGATGGCGATATGAGCGTTCAAGAGGAGCTGAACGATACATTTGCCGAGCTGAAAGCCATTGGTGCCTACTCGGCCGAGGCAAGAGCGCGTCGTATTCTGGCCGGTCTGGGCTTCAGCAAGGAGATGCAGGATCGCCCCACAAATAAATTCTCTGGTGGCTGGAGAATGCGTGTCTCACTCGCACGTGCCCTCTATTTGGAGCCAACGTTGTTGATGTTGGACGAACCGACCAATCATTTGGATTTGAATGCGGTCATTTGGCTGGATAACTATTTGCAGGGGTGGAAGAAGACGTTGTTGATTGTATCCCACGACCAGAGTTTCTTGGACAATGTATGCAACGAGATAATACATCTGGACCAAAAGAAGCTGTTCTACTACAAGGGCAACTACTCCATGTTTAAAAAGATGTACGTGCAGAAGCGACGCGAGATGATCAAGGAGTATGAGAAGCAAGAGAAGCGACTGCGCGAGCTGAAGGCCCATGGCCAGTCCAAGAAGGCGGCTGAGAAGAAACAAAAAGAATCGCTTACACGCAAACAGGAAAAGAACAAGACGAAGACTCAGAAACAGGAAGAGGAAGATGGTCCTCAGGAACTACTGGCCCGACCCAAGGAGTATATTGTCAAATTCCGTTTCCCGGAACCATCGCAGCTCCAGCCGCCCATTCTGGGCGTGCACAATGTGACGTTTGCTTTCGAGGGCCACAAGCCTTTGTTTGTTAAAGCTGATTTTGGCATAGATCTGACCAGTCGCGTTGCTATTGTGGGGCCCAATGGCGTGGGCAAATCCACGTTCCTCAAGCTGCTGCTCGGTGAACTGGAGCCGCAAGAGGGCGAGCAGCGCAAGAATCATCGCCTGCATGTGGGACGCTTCGATCAGCATTCGGGCGAGCATTTGACTGCAGAAGAATCCGCTGCTGAATATCTGCAGCGTCTATTTAATTTACCTCACGAGAAGGCCCGCAAGGCGCTGGGCTCCTTTGGCCTCGTCAGCCACGCGCACACCATCAAAATGAAGGATCTATCTGGCGGTCAGAAGGCGCGCGTTGCTCTCGCCGAACTGTGCCTTAGTGCGCCCGATGTCCTCATTCTCGATGAGCCGACCAATAATCTGGACATTGAATCGATCGATGCCCTGGCCGAGGCCATCAACGAGTATGAGGGCGGCGTCATCATAGTCTCTCACGACGAACGTCTCATACGCGAAACAGGCTGTACACTCTATGTCATCGAGGACCAGACAATTAACGAGATTGATGGCGAGTTTGATGATTACCGCAAGGAGGTTCTCGACTCCCTTGGCGAGGTGGTCAACAATCCCAGCGTGGTAGCCAATGCAGCTGTGCTGCAATAGCCAACGAATGAATTGGTCTCGTTCTCTTTAATTGTTGAAAATAACTTCACTAGATAGCCTTTTTTATATGTGGGCCACAGATCCCAATAAAGCAAGTACATAATGTTGAACTATTTGGAAAATAATTACGTGTTTATTTGAAAAAAAAAAAAAACGAAAAGAATGGACTTAAACCTAGTTGGACGCTGCGGGCTAAGCGGCTTAGGGAACCCTTACTTAGCCATGCCGATAGAACTGCTTCACATTGTTCAGCAGCTGGGTCATCGCGTTGTAGCTATCCGTGTCAAAGTCAATGTTGTCGCCGCCAAATTCAATAACCTGCGAATCAATTGAGATTATAGCGAGAATTTCGTCAGACATCAGCTCCACTTACCTCTTTGGCGCGTATGGCGTCGCCAGCATTTGGAATGCCTATAACCTCCACCCAGGCGCCCTGGGCAGCGCCTAGCTCGCTGGGTAGGCTAATGCGCAGCTTCTGGTTATCCGTGCTGACGCCCATTAGCGTCGTCCCGGCAACGCTCTCCACGCGCACCATAATGCTGACGGTTTGGCCGGCAAACTGTTTCAGCATGCCGCCATTAACAAGAGTACGGGGCTCAAAGGGAACATTCATGTTTGCAATCACAATATAAGTTTTGATACAAATTAAACGACCAACAAATGCAAATGCGTCGCTCAGCGAGAAAATAGCGCGTAAAAGTCAAGGAAAGCAGCTAAGACTAGGCAAATATCGATTGCATTTCGATAACTTTAGCGCAATATCGAAATGTGACATTAAAACCGAGAAAGGTGGCAACAATTTTAAAATTCGAATTGCCTTTTTTTTGTAATGAAAATTTAGTTTTATAATTGGCAGCCATTGTATTATATAACGCATGTATATGTTAAGCTGATGCTCCATGAAGTTTCAAGAACATTAGCTTCGATAGCTTTAGCGCAATATCGAAGTGTGACATTAAAACCGAGAAAGGTGGCAACAATTTTGAAATTCTAATTGGCTATTTTTTGTAATGAAAATTTAGCTTTATAATTCACAGCCATTGCACTATATAACGTATATGTTTATCTGGCGCTCCATTATGTCTCAACAACGTTTGATTAAATTAAAAATAGCATTTATATGTATTTAAAGCAAAATCGAGTTACAACACAGTTGACAAAAATAATACTCTTAATAATACTCTTAATTTTTATTAAGTAAGGCCCCATCTGTTGATTAAATCTACAAACGCTTTCGCAGCTTTAGAGTACGATAGAACGAACCCACCTCCTTTGGCAGAATGGAGGAGCGTGCAGCAGGCTCAATGGATTTCTCAAATGTATTGTACGTATCATCGTGAGCGATCTCGACGACCAAATTCTCATCGTTATCGTCACTGGACGGCGGCTCTACGCAAATATCCGGCGGTGGCAGTTTAGTCCGCTCCCTTTTGGCCGTGTGGCCCATGCTGCGTCTTCCCAAGCCCGAGCTGCGTCGTAGCGTGTTTTCCAGCACACGCACCTTCCTGATATGCGGCTTCAGTGTCTTCTGCGTAACAGCCACTGGACGTGGAACGGACATTCGCAATGCCGGGGATGCTTTCAAGCAGCTCAACGTCTTCATCAGATTCCGCTTGGCATTTGGTGTCAACACCTTAACGCCATTACCAGAAAGGGGCAACTTTCTCTTGTGCAAATTGCCGGTGGTTTTCGCCGCCGAACTTGTCATAGAAGACATCTTTAAATTGGACGGAGTCTTGCGCAATGACATCGTTGATGCAGACAATGCTGACGTGTTCCTTAGCGACAAAGGTGTGCGTGGAGCCATCGATCCGGGTGCAGCCGGTGGCAACATCTTGCCGTGAGTTGATGGAGTTGTTCCTCCCTGTTTCCGAGCAGAACTCTGCAGCTCCTTGGCCTGGCGAAGTCGCACCCAATCGTTGGCCATATGCTCCAATATGTTCTCCCCATGGACCAGAAACGGCGATTTATGGCGCATCTCATAGGCCTGCACCAATTCGGTAATTTGCTGCTCTATCTTTGGCAGCTTAGTGCCTATAGCCTTGCGCTCCCGTTCCTCCTTTAGAAGCTGTCCGCCGCGATTGTTGAAGCGATTGGGTTCGTTGGCCTTGGCCTCTAGCGCCTCCATACGTGCCCAGAACTCGGCGCGACTAGCAAAGAGCTCAAATATCTCCTTGTTGCTATTATAAAAACTCTTAAGATCATCCAGTTCCAGCTCATGCAGCTCCAGTAAATCCTCGTTGTACCACTCATTGTAAAAGTTGGAAAAGCGTTTGCGCTCCTGCTGTGATTTCAGTGTCAAATCCCACCACTTTTGAATCTCCACTCGCAGCTGCTCGATGAAGGTCTTCAGGTTCTGACGACGCAGCTCCTGGCAGCGCTGCAGCTCCTCTTTGAGCACATCATAGGTCGCCTGTGTATACTCTTCGGCCTCGCGAACTCTGCGCATTGCAAACTCGTCCGATTCCTGCAGACGCTCCCAAAGCACGTGGATCTTCTCGCGCATATCGTCGATCCGTTCGCGCAGTTCTAGCACCTGCGCGGCGAATTCTTTCTGCATGAAACGCAGCTTTTCGAAGATATTTGGAGTCAGGCTCTGGTTTGCCTGGCTGAGCAAATGCTCTTCAGCGGCTGTGTCCGGCCGTATACCGAGCAGCCTCATGTCCTGCTTAATTTGGCTACGCAGCTGGAATAGCTCTTCCATGCGGCGCGTGCGCTCTGCTCGCAGATGCTCGAGGTGTTTACAGAAGGATGACATTTCTTCCGGCTTTGGCAGTGGATCGGCCAGCAGCGGCAGCGGCAACTCACCCAGTTCTTCGCACAGCTGATCCTGCTGTAGAAGCAGCTCACATATCTCAGCGCGACGTATGCGCAGCTCCTCCCGCAAATGCTCAATACTCTTGTCTAGCTTTTGCAGCCAGACATCCAGCGGCATCTCCTCTGGCTTCTCGCCAATATCCAGAGTCCTGTGCAGCAGGCGCCTCAAATCTGCGGCCTCTGCTTGCAGTCCACTGATATCGTCCTTGATTAGCTGCTCCTTCTCATTTGATTCTGTCAGCAGGTCGCTGTAGAAATTTTTAACGCGGTCGTTTAGTTTGCTCTTAAGTATTAGACAATATTCCTCATCAAACATATACGACCACTTGCTGAATAAACGATCGACATGATCGCTGGTAACAGCCAGAATATCTGATTTTTGTGTTTGCTCAGTCATTATTTTAAGTCATTAATTGTTATTGTTATGAAAATTGCAAAGTGCAGTCAAAAGGAGACGCCAACATCAATTGAATGTTTCGGTAAATTTAAAACACAAATAAATGTTGCCACCTTTTCAAAATACTATCGGTTAAGTGAATAACGTGGAAAGCAGCGACACCTAGCGACCGTTCACGGCTGTTAAACGAACAGGTATTCTCCGAGGGCTGCAGAGAGCAAACCTAGCATAATTAACAAATAAATATCAATCTGGCGGTTGGTATTTATCGGCGTAACTCCTTTCTGTGGTGAATTTACCACATAAATGACATTATAAGAAGATATATAAAATGGAAAAGAAATTAAAAAAGGATAATGAATTTAAAAATCATTTTCTAACTGGATGGCGCTGCCAACTTCTCAAACTCTAGAATGCTGCGCCTGACTTAACATACAGTATTTTTAAAAGGTGGCAACGTTAATTTGTGTTTTAAATTTACCGAAATATTCAATTGATGTTGGCGTCCCCTTTAGGCTGTATTTCGTAATTGTACAAAAAATTAAATTTTTAAATACGTAAACATGGCCGAACAGCCATCAACAAAATCAATGATCTTGGCTATAACCAGCGATCATGTCGATCGTTTATTTAGCAAGTGGTCGTATATGTTTGATGAGGAATACTGTGTTACCCTTAAGAGCAAACTAAACGACCGCGTTAAAAATTTCTACAGCGACCTGCTGACAGAATCAAATGAGAAGGAGCAGCTAATCAAGGACGATATCAGTGGACTGCAAGCAGAGGCCGCAGATTTGAGGCGCCTGCTGCACAGGACTCTGGATATTGGCGAGAAGCCAGAGGAGATGCCGCTGGATGTCTGGCTGCAAAAGCTAGACAAGAGTATTGAGCATTTGCGGGAGGAGCTGCGCATACGTCGCGCTGAGATATGTGAGCTGCTTCTACAGCAGGATCAGCTGTGCGAAGAACTGGGTGAGTTGCCGCTGCCGCTGCTGGCCGATCCACTGCCAAAGCCGGAAGAAATGTCATCCTTCTGTAAACACCTCGAGCATCTGCGAGCAGAGCGCACGCGCCGCATGGAAGAGCTATTCCAGCTGCGTAGCCAAATTAAGCAGGACATGAGGCTGCTCGGTATACGGCCGGACACAGCCGCTGAAGAGCATTTGCTCAGCCAGGCAAACCAGAGCCTGACTCCAAATATCTTCGAAAAGCTGCGTTTCATGCAGAAAGAATTCGCCGCGCAGGTGCTAGAACTGCGCGAACGGATCGACGATATGCGCGAGAAGATCCACGTGCTTTGGGAGCGTCTGCAGGAATCGGACGAGTTTGCAATGCGCAGAGTTCGCGAGGCCGAAGAGTATACACAGGCGACCTATGATGTGCTCAAAGAGGAGCTGCAGCGCTGCCAGGAGCTGCGTCGTCAGAACCTGAAGACCTTCATCGAGCAGCTGCGAGTGGAGATTCAAAAGTGGTGGGATTTGACACTGAAATCACAGCAGGAGCGCAAACGCTTTTCCAACTTTTACAATGAGTGGTACAACGAGGATTTACTGGAGCTGCATGAGCTGGAACTGGATGATCTTAAGAGTTTTTATAATAGCAACAAGGAGATATTTGAGCTCTTTGCTAGTCGCGCCGAGTTCTGGGCACGTATGGAGGCGCTAGAGGCCAAGGCCAACGAACCCAATCGCTTCAACAATCGCGGCGGACAGCTTCTAAAGGAGGAACGGGAGCGCAAGGCTATAGGCACTAAGCTGCCAAAGATAGAGCAGCAAATTACCGAATTGGTGCAGGCCTATGAGATGCGCCATAAATCGCCGTTTCTGGTCCATGGGGAGAACATATTGGAGCATATGGCCAACGATTGGGTGCGCCTTCGCCAGGCCAAGGAGCTGCAGAGTTCTGCTCGGAAACAGGGTGGGACAGCCTCATCAACCCACGGCAAGATGTTGCCACCGGCTGCACCTGGGTCGATGGCTCCACGCACGCCCTTGGCGCTAAGAAACATGTCGGCATTGTCTGCATCAACGATGTCCTTACGCAAGACTCCTTCTAATTTGCAGTTATCTTCCATGACAGGTTCGGCGGCCAAAACCACCGGCAATTTGCACAAGCGAAAGTTACCTAATACCGATAGTAGCGGCAGGGAAGAGACCCCAAATGCAAAGAGGAGCCTAATGAAAACATTGAACTCTTTGAAAGCATCACCGGCGCTGCGAAAGCCGATGCAACGCCTAGCGATTGCCCAACAGAAGTCAATAAAGTCGCCGCTAAAGAAGGTGCGTGTGCTGGAGAATACTTTGCGTCGCAGCTCCGGCTTGGGCCGGCGCAGTATTAGTCAGTCCAACAAAAAGCGGCGCAGTAAGATGGCATCGCCAGGACGGCACATGCAGCCGTCTTCCAGCGATGAGCAGGAGCATGAGGACATCGGCAACTATAATAAGTTTGAGCCACCAGTGCGATCATCCGAGCTGCCGCGGACGTTGGCCTCCTGTCGTCAAATG